CTCCTTGAATCCTAGCTTAGTGTTCTGTTTGAATGCGTTTAGTCTATTCCGATGCGACTTGAGAACAGGGACTCTATCTGTTCTGTTTTTTTTTTGTTTTGTTTTTTGTTTCCTCAATGAACCGTTTCTTTCCAAATTAAGCAATCATTTAGAAAGTAACCAATGATATTCTTCTGTTTAGTTCATTTTCAAGAAAGTTAACTAATTAAAATTCATTCACTATACCCCTCTGGCAACGGCCAAGCCAGTATAAAGTAAATAGTATATACCCCTAGGGAAGGTTTGGTATTTATTTGTTATATTAATTTTCTTTATTGGTATATTATTTTTATATATATATTCATATAAACCTAGTGTTCATGAATACCAAATAGAATCTGGCTTTTGTTGGCCATGATCAATCTTTTCTTTGGTACATAAGGAAAAGATAAGCCATCCCATGGCCTGTCTGGACTGCAAGGGTAGGGTGCTACCTAACTGTGAGAAGTATATAATTAAGCTTTGCCTCATATATCATTAGACCCCCCCTCCCCAGAGGCGGGATTTTTTTTTTCTGTCATCAGTACATCCCAGGGGCGCGATTCGTACATTTTACTTAAGAAATTTTCTTGTGGTAAATCTATCCTTTGCAAAGGCTGTGTAAATAGATTTTTAAATTTCCTTTTTTTTTGGGGGGGGGGGGGCTGGAACTGGTTTACGTAGTGACCACTTATCGATGATTTTTTCAGTTTTACATAATCTGTATTAAAAAATGGCTTTAGCACTCCGATCCTCTAGCGAAGCAACACACTGCGTTTAAATAGCACGATAATTACGACTGCTGGGATGTACTGAAGCTTGTGCAAACAAAATTTTGGGAGAAACTGTTGGGAATTTGGACGCTTGACAAAATTCGTTATCTTTTTCGCTAAATCTAATTATATTTCACACACACACACACACACACACACACACACACACACACACACACACACACACACACACACACACACACACACACACACACACACACACACACACAACACACACACACACACATATATATATATATATATTATTTATATAAAGCTTATTTAGTGTTCAAAGCGATGCGATGATTACCGTCAGTCAGTTATTATTTTCAATAGGGACAATATTTTTTTGCGTTCTTTTTCGGATATAAAAGTAAATATTTCTGTCTGAAAAAATTAATAAATGCATCAAATCATAAAGATAACTATTCACTAATGTGATTCTTTTTTCTTGCTTTTTTTTGAAAATCTGATTTTGAAGGAATGGAGAATTGTGGATGGCAAGATCAGTACAAAATCATTTTAATTATATAATCTTAGTATGAAAACAACATAGTTCAATTTTACGAATTATAGAAGCATATATATGAAGAATATGTGATTTGAGAATTAGTTGAATTTGTCACGTGTTCTATACAGATTATAATTTTCGAAGAGGATCGTACGTATGTAAGCACACGCACATAAGGTTAACTATGTTGATCATCCTCATTCAGTAGTCCTACATCGACTTTTTATGTAAAGTAATAAAATATATTAGTTAATTCTATCAAACCGTTTTCTTTAACAAATATCAAAAGTAAGTTTTCAACAGGAAACGAGTGTAGAGTTGGTGTTTAGTCATTTGCACCCCATTATCTTTGCTAAGAAGTGCATATCTGAGTATTTATGGCCTACGGTAACATCTACATGCATTATTCTTTGTCAGAAACACACTAATAGGATGCCATTTCAATTCTAGACGAAAGCTGCACATGAAAACGAGTTCAAACTTCCATATAGTTTTTATTTCAGAACAGGTATTACTGTGTACTATCATCTTCACCATAAAGTAATCAGTATCTCGCTTATATCTCCGAAGTTCAAAGATCTGACTTTTAGCTGCCCTTCGTAATGATGTGCTCTTTACAGCAGAAACGACCAATTTAAAATCAAATCAAATTTGGCGACGTTGGAACGTAGCGACTGTTAGAACCGAAATATTATAATCATCATTTATAAGGCTATTAAAAAAAAAAAAAAAAAATAGTGCTTCATACTCGGTGCACATACGGATCCATTCGTAAGCCACATATTACCAGGGAGTCTCGATGAAAGGCATATTTCATGTGTAAAAGTATACAAAATTTACATTTTAGAAAGATAGTTCGTCATAAATCACTGATATTAGTATTATTTTTTATATTGGTATGAAAGTATCCTTTGAACGTTCACGAACTCATTTCTATGTGCAATGTCATTATCAATTGCTTTAAACAAGTTTGCAACAAGCAAAAGTCCACACAGCCGTACTGGGTGCATATTAGCTGCGTACCTCCTCCACGTGCTGGCAGGTCTCGCGTATGCTATCCAATAAATAAGTGGAGCTGGCTCTAATAGGCGTTTGATAGTTTCATCATTCTTGTACCTATACAAGAGGCTAGCTATCTCAATTTGACTCCTCTCATTTCCACCTCCCCCCCCCCCACCGACGGAGCGTCCCCTGAAAT